ATACTGTGTTTATTGACACAAAATGAAGAGCTTTATCGTCAACTTTTTTTTTTAATATAAAAAGAGACTAATAAACATATATATATGTGTGTGTGTGTGTGTGTGTGTGTGTGTGTGAGTGTATTTTTTAAACAACATTCCTATAACTGGCTTGAAGAACATGTAAAAAAACTCAGACTTGCCAGGTAAATGAGCTGAACAGAGGCTGCAATTGACAGAAGTGTGGGGGCTCCATAGGTAGAAAAGGGTTCAGTCTCTGAGGAGACACACATATAAACCCATCATCTTTTCTTACTAAAGAATTTTAAACTTTCCTGTTTTCCTTGCCTTGGTTTTCTGCCCATGGTACCTCATACAATGATTCTAGATTAGTTATATATTTATTTTTAAGTCTGTATTTGTTTTTATTCCTGAGATATAACCAAACAAGGTCCAGACCCAAATTTGTATCCTCTCTATATAGTAAATTTTCATTATATCATTAAGGGTCTTCCTAATTTACAAATTTAAAGCTAAAAAATATTTTTAAAGCTTTAGAAAGCTAATAGAAGCAATGTTTTGTTGTTGTTGTTGTTGCTTCTTTCCTTGTTTGGTTTTCCTGGGGTATTTTCTTTTTCCTCACTGGAAAATGTCTCTAATAAGGAACATGCTCAAACACATATTAAAATCGGAATGTATTTCAACTTCCCATTGAGAGAAAAAGAAAAATTATGCATGAATGTCACCTGAATGACATTACTTTGATGTTTTCAGCACTCATCTTTGCAGCTCTATCCTGCTAAAACTGGGAGCTTCTTAAGGGATATGCTCTCTCTCAGCCTGTGCTTCCTAGCTGCGCCTGTCTGGTGAGTCAGCATGTACCTGATTCTGTATAAATGGCTGCAAACTGTTTGGAAATGTAGGATATGTGTCATACAAATTCATGTGTACTTGCTTCTTAGAGGTTTATGCATTGAAACTGGAGGCAGCTGGGTATGTAAGCCCATAGTAGTTGGCCTAAACAGTATTTCAGGCCTAACCTGCATCAGCTTAACTCTCTAAATATCTTTCAGGATCTGGGCTTTGAAGACTTCAAATTTGTTTTGCTTCCTTACTTTCATAAGAATCTCAGTTGTGTACTATTGTGAGATCAAGTTTTCTGTCCTTCCAAGCAATAAATAATTTTAATAGAGTAAAAACTTACTGGAGGATTTAGATTATTTTCTACATTTCTAAAATTCTAATAATAAATACAGCTTTTGAGTGATTTATGTGTGCCATGTTGGCCTTTTGCTTCTAGAGAAGTGAACTTAAAACTCTGGTTGGCCTCATTAGATGCTAGAACTAATGTGTATGTACAACAGGCCAAAGGGAAGATGCCTCCCCAATATCTATCCCAAAGCATGTATTCTCTGCCTATTGGCACTACAATAAATGTCCTGCAAATTAATGGGACACTCCATATGAAGTAAATTTCTATATATTTGCCTGCATTTTTGTTGCTACATTTTGATATTTATATTTCTTTACTGAGTTATTGTATAACATTGTATAATATACTATGGGTAAAGATTTTCATTTAAAATTGCCATGAGAATGAATTGATTGTTTTTATCTGTTGCTTAGACAAACTTTCCTTAAAAGGTGTAAGAAGCACTTATGTTTCCTCCATATGCTGTTTCCATGATGAATCATTTCATCAGAAGGCAGCATTATCCCTGCAAGATAAAAATGTAAGGAAGGCAGGCCCCTTCCTATTCAAGATAAGATATATGCAGAATCCCAGCAATATGAGAAGATCACAATGCCTGTGAAAAAGCTTCAGGAAAAAAGAAAAATGGGTGGAGAGAGGTGGGAGCAAAGAACTGAGCTTGGTTTTGGTTTGGGTTTTTTAAAACTATTTCATTTAATTCTGCCACAGAGGCAAATGATGACTGAAAAAATCTATGGCTGTCTAAACACTGTTGGGATCAATGCTGAAAGTGAGCACTTTTGAATCCCAACAGGGCCTTTCCAAAGAAGAAAAGAACGTTGTGCAACTTTGGACCATATACCTTCTGAAGGGAGCTACTACATGGCTAGGAAAACAATTTGAAGCCTATTACAGAACAAGAGAGCAATTGTTTGTGGGAATATGAAAGTACTGGCAATAATTAAAAACCCCTCAGAACAGAAAAGAGAAAACAGTCCTTTAAAAAGCAAGAAGGAAATTTACATATATTAATAAAATATGCGCAAATATCAGAAATTAGCTGGTCAGTTTAGAGAATGTAGGTAGTAATCCAATTTGTACCCTGATACATGAGAAACTGGAATAAGAAAATGATTTTACAATTTGTCCATTATAGTTAGGTCAACTCAACCTGGAAACAATTTCCTTTGGCAGGAAAGAATGAACCAATATTTTATTGAGAGCTCTGGAGAGAATTGGGTTCTGATTAACGAGAAACTGAGACACTCAACAAGCAGCAAAGGCTTTGGATCTAGTTATGATTTTAATTACACCAATATGAATAAGACTAATCTTTCAAGTGCATTTTCCAGAAAGAAAGTCACATCACAAACAAGTCATCCAGCCTTCAAGATTTACCTGTAAGAAGTCAACAGTGAACAGTAAAGAAAATTACTTACACTTACAAATTATACTACTTAGAAGAATCACTATGGAATTTATAATAAAGAATGAAGACAGTTCATTATTTCCAAAGTGCAGCAGAGAAACTGAATTTCCTAGCAAGGAAAAATTAAAAAAAGGAGTAGATACTACTTGCACTGTTTCCATGCTCACATAATATATTTCTCATGGTTACCTTGATTATGACATGTTAACTTTCATAAATAATATAATTATATCTGATGTAAATCTGATAGAATCAAAATTAAGATGGTGTTTGGTTTACTCTTTTTTTCTTCTTTTTTTTTTTTTTTTTAATTGGAAAGTTCCAAAACAGCCTGAAGTGGCTCAGGATGATTTTCTAGGTAATATAGCCAAGCTCCATAGATAGCACAGCTAGAGATCTCATAACTCTATTAAAAACAGGGAAATTTTCACTGTTACTATACATGGCCTGTGAGTTAGTTTGGGAAATATGAAGTGTAGAGGGAATTGTAGGGTTTTGAGTGATTTAACATCAAAAGGAAACTGCAGCTTCATAATACATGAGACACACATAGCTCTTCCTTCATTGTTTTGAACTCTGAAAAAGTCTGGATGTCACAACTTTATGACGTGTTGCCAACGCCTTTTTTATTTTCCCCCAGCCTCATCAGTTATTTTCTTCACATTTGTTTTTTTTTTCTGTGAGATCCTGTATCCTGGCCATATTGCCAAAGGCTACTAGACTGTAACATGCCCTGCATAAGAATTTCAAAGCATTGTACTCCATAGAAGAACATGAAAGAGTCCTTCATGTTCTTTGGAATAATAAACGAAAACAAAGGAAAAGATCATGCTCTTCCCTCCCATGCTACTTTGAACACATGCTCAAAATGCTTACAAAATGAAATACTGCTACCCAAACCAGCCACAACAAAGAGCTGTAGAGGAACATTGACAGAAGTGATGCAGAAACATCAGTTTATCAATTTTCTCCATTTTCCATGAGCTTCGAAGTCCAGCCCCTGTGACCACATTACTCAACAAATAATTTCAAGGAGAAAGTTTACAGATTTCATTGGATACATTCATAAAACGGAAGTGAAAGTAGTAAATGCAAATAATGTATTCATGTTCATAGTAACTTGAAGTACATTCTCATTTTTAATTGCTGTTCAATCCACAAAAGCATTTTCAGCATGTGCTTACTTGATTACTGTATTAAAATTTTAAAATTAATGGTCTCATTGGGGTTTTTTAACATTGACTTCAAAGGGGAACAGATTAGGATTTATACAGATTTGGCTAGTGGTGCTGCTTGTTATTAAAACCCTTCTTTCATGTTGCATAAAAGTTTGCCAGATTTTAACCATTTAGGCTGAAATTCCATACGCTTCATAGCTGCCTCAGGCTGAATTCTTCTGCAAAAATCCAAACAAAACTATTTAGCTCTTTTCAAGAGTGAGGACTGACTTGGCAAGAAGACTGGGACAGGTAAGCCAGGGAATGTGAGTAAGACTGGGAATGTATGGAAGTGAAAACTCAGACTGGCAGTGGCCAAAGTAATCTTGAACTACATAGAAAACCTGACAGAGAGAATGAAGAAATTGATGTCCTTAAAAAAGGACAAGCCTGGGGAGCTGTAGATAAAATATTACGGACAGGAAAATATGACTGGTACAAGAAACCACGAGTGGAAAAGATGCAGAACTGGGAAAGAGAGAAGCTGGGACATAAGGATGGATTATAATGCTGGAACAGCCTGTGCTTTTACAGCACCACCTTCTCTGGAGCTTGGAGCAGAGCCCTGAGCTCCATAAACTCATAGTTCATTTCTCTTGTGGGCAAATGGCCACAAAAGACACTAGCAAAATTTCTCATTCCCCTCTATGATTTGCCTATGAAGATATTTCATTATCTTTGGTAAGCTTAAGACCTGTTTTTTATTCCATTGGTTAAAATAAAGGATTTAAATATTTCAACTTGAGTGACCCATACACGGATCCATAGGAAACCACATCACAAAACTCATTTCCCTCAATTTCTTCTTCAAAAAATTTTCACTGTCCTCCTGACTCCTTTGATAAAAAGAACATTATTTTGCCTGTGAAATATCAGATTCAGTGGCAGATATTGGAAACTGTTCCCTCTTGACCATGCAATTCCTGCTGTCACCTAAACTTTTCCTGGTGAGGAATAGGAATTGTATACTAATCAGAGACCAACAGTAAAAAACAATACAAAAGACTTTTTGCAAACCAAGCAGGAAAACTCAGGAAAATTACAGAGAACTGAAATTTCAGAGAGCAGCCCTGATTATTCTTAGAAGTTCTGACAAGACTGAAGAAATCGTGTATTATTTATTTGCTCTCAACTTGCATGCTTTCTTCCCTATCATAGAGGGTGAGGGAGACCTCAGAGAAAAGCAGAATAAGAAAGAGGAAAACCAGCAAGGAGCTGGGACCATAAACCACTATTAAAGATCAGAGAATGGATGTCACTAAGATAATGGAAAGAGAAAATACCTAGGGACCAGCAGAGAGAGGTCATTTACTGCATGACTGACTGGCAGGCAGCCAGGAGGACCTGTCTTTAGGGACACAGTGGACAAGTAAGTGTGCCTTTTTCTGTTGCTATTATTTTTCTAATTCTTTTTAACTGCATTGTAATGCCTAGTCCAAAATTAGCAACAGATTTGATAGGGCTGCTTTGATAGATTTGATTTGGTTAGATTTCTTTTTTTTTTCGCTTTCAAAACTTTGGGTTGCTCACCATAAGCAAATGATCTAAGCCACTGGCTGAAAGATAAGAAAATCTGGGGTTCTGACATGATGGTAAAATAGATGTTTCAGGGGAAATTAGTGACCTTGCATTCCTTGACTCCTAGACAGACAGAGATTCTGTAGGTGGAAGCTTGACATCTGTCTTTCTGACAAACTGGACCATCCCATGTCATCCCTGTGCCGTGCATCACGTGTGGTAGCAGTGCTGAAACTGCATTCCTTCCCTCCCCCCCAGATGGACCATTTTTGCTCCTGACAACCTAATATCTGAGACTCACTGAAATGTAAATTAAACCACTGGAGGTCAGGATTTTGAACATGTACCTTGTATCATTGACTTTGTATCACTGAGGGCTGTACATTACTGTTATGAGTCAATGCTAAACTCATGTTTATCATGCCATACTAATAAAAATATTTGACCTTAAACTCCTTCTGCTTCAGCTTCCCCTCTTAAGGGGGAAGCTTAAGAGGGGAAGAGTGACTTAAAGAAGAAATTTGTAATTTTTTGTGAATCTTATGTGTCTTTGATTCCACGGGTACTTCCCACAATGAAAGGAAAGGGAATGAATAAGTTTTGTAATTTCTGCATAGTGTGCAATGCATAGAGCAGGCAGCTAGAGAGGGAAGACTAGAGAATAATAGCAAAAACAGGGGTACATTATGTGGTAAGAACTTTACCATAAAAGAAGGTCCTGCTGAAAAATATTATGTTAATGTGATTGATGCCTGCATATTATAATGGAAGAAGTCAAAGGAAGTGAATTCATTTTGTGATAGGAAACTAACCCTGGCATGCTTAATTTTTTAGTAAAATTACATAGTTTGAAGGGCTATTCTTGAATATTTTATTTTAAAATAAAAATTATGCCTCCATAATCCCCATGCAGATATAACAAAAATATGAAAAATTAGGAAACTATTTTAATTTACCAAATGTTAATCACTGAAGAAATATTTTTTAATCTTACTTGAAAATTCATAAATCTTCTTTCATATACAGTATCTGCATACTGATAAAATGGAAAGACAGCACTGTATTTTTTTCCATATAAATGTTATAAATTATCATTTAACATAGGTTGGATGCTAAAAGTGGAAAAAGTAATTTTACTATTAAAAAAAGGAAGTTTTAGCTTTGAAATTCTGGGTTTCTGTACAAGTAATTGTTTGCTATTTTATACAATCCCAGAAATCTCCAAAAGGTGTTGCTCTATTTGCCATTTACTATGTTGTCTGGATTAGATGAATGAAAATCTTCCTGAAAGAAGGCAGAGTTAAAAACAGCTGGTCCCAGCAATAACTATTACTGAGGATTTTTTCATTCAACTTAATGGGAATGGGCAGAGAATAATGAAAAGAAGACTCCTCTAGAACTACATGTTCCCTTTAAAAATTCCAATTCTCTCACTGACTGAATGACTAAATGATCCCAGCCAACTCCATTTTCTTCTTCTGCCTAGCTTTACCTAGGAAATAGTCATACTAGCATGTTCTGTACAGTATTGTAATGTCTCAAGATGAAAGCCATTAGAAGGGCTATGCTTTCCTAAAAGCTGTCATTGAAATGGTCAGATGTAATTAAAATGCTACTGCATGTTATGAAATTCAGACATTCACATTTTTACTTTTTTTTTTTCTTTATTAATCCTCCCCAGTACATACCCACACATTATTTTTGTGTGTCTAAAACCATGCTTATGAATCTATCCCACATTCCTGTGGGTCCAATATGGGTCCCAGTGTGTACCTGCAAAAGATCTCAGCCCTCTCAGCAGGCACTTGAACATGGGTTTTCTGTTCAGATAGCATATAAGAACAGAAGTTTTCAGAACATATCCCTAGTCACTGCTTAATAGACCCAAGTCATGGTCACAAGTGTCAATGGCTCTGACGTAAGTACCTTTCTCTCTTGCTTTTGATTTGAAAATGTTTCAAGATGTGATCCTATGTTGATAACAAACGCCGTGAGCCCCTATTATACTTGAAAGCAATGGCAGATTCTATGTCATTCGTTGCCACAGCAGGAAAGTCCTGACCATGCCCCAGATAGTGCATCATAAGGCAGAAAATTTAAAGTAAATCCTACTCGCTCTTCCTACCTCAATACTCACAGCTCTTTTTCAGTATAGAACTAAAGAGAACTACAAATGTAGTAGAGAGGCTGTTGCATAACCTCTGTGCTCTTGGCAAAACCTCTGCTATTGTGTTTGAAAAACAACAGTTGGTAAACACTGAGAATTTTTGTGCAACAGAGACTTCTGCATGAGGAAGCAACACCCAGCTGTAAATCTGAGCGTTGCCTTATTCCACACGTAATCAATACTCAGGGATCAGCTTACCTGGGGTCCCTGATCAGCCACGGAGCAAGTACAAGTCTCCACAGATGGAGAAATGCCAGCTTGATCTCTATAAGGAAACCAGACCAGACAGTGATATTCCTCCTTGGCACTGCCAGGCACATTACACAGTTTTTCACCCTCCTGTGAGCTGAGAGAGCCCTTTTCTCCCTTCCTCTCCCAATCCTAGTGACAGCATGAGAGTATGGAGGGAATTTCAGTACTGGTGCACCTTTATTTCTACTCATTTCTTTGTGGTACAAAATCCATTCTCAACGAGTTCAGAGGAGACCTGCTCTGTTGGATGCCTGGATAGCAACAGATTTTGCAATGTAAAACTTTGCACAGTACTTTCTTATTAAAAATTTTCCTTCTGTGGGTTGAGGTTGATATATCTAAAGTGAGTAGCAGCTGAGAAGATTAGGCAGATTTTAAGATTGAGTATTTTTCAGTATCGTACCATTTTTTCTTCTCACCCTTGTAAAATGTTGTTTTCTTAGATATCTGCATTGCCATAACTAGTTTTGGATAGTTATTCCCAGATCAGTTTTCTCTCTAGCACTTTCATCCTTTGATGTATTTATAAAATACCTTATGCTCCTTAATTCTTTCCCCTGACAGAAATAGTTTGCCACAAATTACTTCACTGTCAATGTTCCTGCAAAATTTTACACTTCTAAGTCACATGCAAATTTTCTGAGATTTATTAAAAAAAAAAAACAAAAAAAACCTAGCAGCCTATACAAAGAGAAGGAGCTCATTATTAAAAAAAATTAAAAAAAAGGTGTTTGGGGGAAGCTACCAGAATTTTCTATTTTTAGTAAAAAGTCCATAGCATAGGCCTGCAAATTACAGAATTTCATAAATTACTTGCTCTGGACTACTTGCATCTTAAACTGGGAGAGCATTATGTTGCATCCTTTATAAACACATGATAGTTTCACATAGAATAGCAGAGAAATTGCTTCTTGGTGTTTGTAACATCATATAGCATTTCATCATTACCATATTTGCTGCATCAGACTTGAAATTTCTTGAAGATTCTTGAAGATTCAATATAATCTTTGCTGAAATGTCAGTCCTGCCTATTTTAGAACTAAGCTTAACAAGTTCCCTGCCAGTTACATGAAGTTAAATCATGTTTCCACACTGACAACCCCTGAGCAAACCTTTCATTTTTTTCAATATCTCATGGCTTTGCAGGCTTCATGGTACAGTTTCTAAGTATACATCTAGGCTTTGGTAGACTATCAAAGCAGCAATCCCAGTTCTTCTTTTGGTCTTTACTTCTCTTTTCCCAAGAATATTGTATCATTTGCCAAGCTGGGTAAGGAAAAGTGTATTTAAATAGTGAGAAAAGTCATAAAAATCTGTATAAGATAGCTATTCTGTAAGTAATAAATTGAGCTTAAATTGAAGATGTTCTTCTGCTTTCACATGTAATTTGCTTCTCAGCATGGGTGTGTATATTCAGAGATCCACAGTTCTGCAGGAAAGCAGGCTGTTTTCAATAGAGTTTATTTAATAAAAGGCTATTTGAAAAATTACTTTCCAGAGGGTGCTATCAAAAAAGCATACTTGTACCAATAATATAACAATTTTGTTGTATAGTAAATTATCCAATTTCCATTACAACTGATGGAGTGCAGCAATTAGAGGACGTCTCATATGGGATGATATGAATTTTATTAGCTGTTATCTTTGCTGAAACTAAAGCAGAAAAATTCACAGGAGCATTCTTACTTATTGTGACCTCACACCTTAAATGAGATCCTTCATCTTACTTTTGTCAATCAGAGTAAACACAATTATACTGAACTTTCTGAGACTGAAATGTCATTGTATTGAGTCCTTCATGTGTTAAAACCTGAACAATCCATAATGAATTGCAGTTCAGTGCACCTGAACCTGCTATCCCAATGAAGCTCTGTAGAAAATTTAAAGATGGATAAGCTCTGGTAACACCTGTTTTTTGAGGTCAAAAGAGTTATACTTTTATGGAAAAGCTTTTGTTTGCTTGTGCTTCACTTTGACTCTTTAATCTAAATGCTCTTTTCTTCCAATGCAGATATTAGAAGTATCAGTAGATAAGACAAAGAAAGTGAGATCAGATATCGATGCTAAATGAGTTGCAGTTAAGTAACTGCTGGTGAAATAATTCTCCAAAAATGCTTTGCAAACCATGAGTGAGGAATACCATGAAGGAGGGAATATTTCTGTTAAAATAAATTGAGAGATCAATCCTTAATCTTTTCCTTGTCCTGGCTAATGTGCATTGTCCACAGTCCCATCAAGCATCTTAAAGCATGATTTTGGGGTTGTTAAAATTTCATGCTTTTGTGACTAGAGATAATCAAACACCCCAGATTTCTCATCCTGTATTACTTTTTCAAATATTTTACCATACCCATGTATTAGGCCAGATATATCTTTTACATTTTCTGATCTATCACTTTTCTTATTCAGGGATAAGTTTTCACATGCTATTC